AATTAAAATATTTTTATTTTTATACTATTTTATTAAAATAACATAATTTTAAAATTTTTTTACTTAATTTTTTTATACATTCAATTAATAAATATTAATTTTTAATTTATATAATATCATGTATTAAAAAATAAAGTGAAAGAGAAGAAAAAATCGTTTACAAAAAGCAAAGGGCGGCTAACCTACTTTATGATTCGAAGAATTGGCACGTACCGTTTGCCCACCCAACCGCCACCACACGCTTGACACGTGACACACCGCACTACGCCAACAAAGAAAGAATTAAATTAACCCCATTCCACACGTGCCGCGATTTCCTGGACCCCATTGATATTGGAAGCAAATCTCCACCATTCAAAGAAAATACCTTCTAAAAATAGAAAGCAAAATCAAATCACACACAAACTCTTGATACAAAAAGACAGTAAATAAAAACACCTTATTTTCCATTCCATCCATATATTTATAAACATTCATTGATTCATCCCACTTCTTTCTTCCCCTAACCATCAAAACCCCTATTTACAATCTGTGCAAAACTTATGTATAATTCCACTCTAGAGAACTAGAAAGCACCCTATATTTTACTAGTATATCTTATTGCCATAGAGTCCTTCACATTTTGGCTTATTCCCCACATTTGCCCCCTTCTTTTTTTTCTTTTTTTTTCTCCCATTTGTCTATTGTATGTACAAATATTAGAGTGCTACTCAGTATATGTTGATAAAACATGAGAGACACTACTTGGCTCACTAATACTCTATGATTAGTCCTCCCATGGGTGCTCTGTGGGGAATTCCCTTTCTGCGCTTGGCACTTCGGTGATTGACTGAGGTTGGAGGGGGTGTTGAGGGACTGAAGCTCTGCATTTTGTTGGTGGTGTTGTTGTTTTTCACCTTGCCATGGCTGCTGCTGCTGTATGAGTCCTCAGAGTCTGATGTCATGAGGTGCTGGTGCCTCTTCTTCTTTTGGAAATTCTTTGATGTTCCAGCAATCTACATTCAATATAATAAGGAAAGTAATCAGGAACTTGCAATCTAATTTAGCAATGCAATTAAGGGGAAGAAATACAAATATTTTTAGCTAGGTGACAATTAACAGACATTATTGTGGAATTCAAATCAGATTATTAGGATTGCTTCACATTGCCTCCCCTAGATATTTTTCAGGGGGTAACATGGAAAAAGTCAAAACAAACACGGAAGAGAAAAGCAAGGCAATTATTTTTCTCAGCTACCAAACAACAACATTGACCCCCAATAAAAATGAAAAATTAAAACAGAAGAAATGAAGGTACCTTGCATCCAAGAGAGCAGAAGCGGAAGGAATCCACAAGGCTACGGTCACAGACCTCGCAGGTATTGGTGACACCTTTGCCGGGCCTTGGCTGTGGTCGCTCGTTCAAGAAGACGACTTTGGCACTGTTAATGACATATGTTTGGACTCCAGATATATCCAGCACCTTCTGTATTTCAGATACCCTGATCACATCATGGTATGAGGACCTCCTTATCTGTTTAAAAAAAAGGAAAGAAAGAAGAACATAGAATGATGAATTAGGCAAAGCACAAATGAATGGTGATTATCTGGTGATGATTGAGAAATAACAGTAAAGACCCATGTGAAATTTGTGAACTTTAGTATCTGTCGATGAATGTTGAATTATTTCCACACCCAAATCACTCATGAGGAAAAGATTGAATTCATTTCTGTACTTTAGTGTCAGAAACAGAGGAGGAAAACATCAAACATGGTAATCGGTGAGTATCAGAATCCAAAAGTAGATCTGGAATGAAAAATCAAAAATCTTTGCCTTTGGTGAAAAAAAGGGTATATATGAATTACGGTAAAATGCCTTAAAAAGATATGGGTCTATTTCTGCTTGGATGCTGAGAAAATGAGAGAAAAGAAAAGTATGAAACCTGAAATTGTAAAAAACACATGTCCTGAACTGAACCCTGAGCTGGGATTTGTACATTGAACAATGAAAAAGAACAAATTAGAAGAGGAGGACTAAAGGAAAACGTCTGTGTTAAAATTCAGAACAAACTTAATCGAGAGAAGGCAGAATCCCAGTATTGGAACAAAAATGCGGCAAAAGGGGTATTAAAAACAAGGGATTCCAAATTTGATAGTTAGGAAAAAGGGAAAACAGAAGGAACATTCAATTTTTGAAAAGAAGAAAACCAAACCCAGATGTGAACAAGTGGATGAAATTGCACAATCAAAGCCGATTAACAAACCTGAATAGCGCGATGTTCCCTGTGATGACCAAGGCAGAGAGAACAGAGAGCCCCATTCATACAATCCAAACAGTACATATTGCACTCACTCTTGTGAGAATCAGCATGAAACTTGCATTGAACAAAGAAATGCTCTCTCAAGAGAGGCTTCAGCCATGGCGGCCAGCGATTGTCATCATCATCAGGACCACCAGCTCCCTAACAATAACAAACCCATAAGAGATTAGAAACCAATCACAAACAGCATTGTCAAGAAATTGGAACATTTTAAGCCAAACCCAGATCAGGAAACCAAAAAAAAAAGAATCGAACAATGCAAAAGTTGCGTTAAAAGTTAAAAAGAAAACGAAAAGAAAAGCCAAACAAAGCGATCAGATACCATGATTCTCCTGTTCTTGGGCTTGATTTCACGAACTGTGGTTTCTTGATTTTCGATGGCCATTCCGAAATTGAAAACACAGAGTGCTCTGTTTTTCTTCACCTGCAAGAGAAGGAGAGAATTTGTGTTTGTTTTTAGGAGAGAGAGTCCTAAACCAAAGTGTTTATAGTGAAAGAGGTGAGTGAAGGCGGCGAAGAGGGAGAGAAATTGAGGACTTTGTATTAGAGAGAGAAGGCTTCTTATCCTTACACAAAGTCTTGCATCCGAACCTAAATGCCGAACCTGAACCCGAACCCAAAGAGAGATACGTTGTGTGCAAGGAACCGAACCGACCTCCTTCTTTCCTTTTTATTTCCCCTTTCATTTTCACTCACTTTCTCTCTTTGAATTATCAATATTTTTTTTATTTTATTGCTTTTTTTTCATAATTTTATTTATTTTTCTTGTATATTTAATTTCTAAATCATCTGTCATTATTGGTGATTAAAATTTTTTATAATTTGAATATCGTGATATGGAAGAGGAATGAATTTTTTATTTCAATGTGAGTGACAATAGACAACCCCTGTTTTAGTTACCATGTTTTCATACCAATGTTCTTTGTCCTAAACCATTTACTTGTAGTGGACTCACCTTGTTTTTTTTTTTTCTTTTTTCTCTTTTAGATTGTAAAAATTTGAGCCTAAAACACGGGATATGTGAAGAATCTAAGGAATGGGCAAAATGATTGGGCAAACCAAACACCTATTGAAAGAGATCAGGTAGAATATAGGGTTGATGTTGAGACAGATTATTATTACTCATATCAAAGGCTGTCCTAATACCATCAAGTTTGGTCTTGGTCGGCCATCTGTTACTACAATTCACAATTGGAGCCATCCCATCCCAATAAACAAACTTTCATATTCATGATATCAGCCCTGGAGAAAATATTACCAAACCCATTAATACATTGTCTTTAGATTTGATTCTGGCCGCAACTTAATCTTTAAGGCTACATAGACAATATTGATATTTTCTTAATTTTTACCTTAATTTATTATGGTATCTAAAACTATTACTAATATATAAGTTGATTTTAATTTGTAAATTGATAAATATTAATTACTTTTTTTTTTGAACAAATTCGTAAAAAATCGAATTCGAACCTTTGTTCTGAGTGGAGAGAATGCACTTATACACGTGACTTGACGTCACTGGGTCCAAACGCCCAAATGCGATAAATATTAATTACTTTTAATAGTTAAATTAAACAAAATTAACATTCATGACCATTGTCACTTTTCTTATAACGGTACTAGTAACTAAGAATCTTAATAAGTAAAGTACGTTCTTAAACATTGGATCATTGTGTTATTCGTTTGCAACTTGTAGATAAAGGTAATGTAAATTAGAAAAAGCACATGTGTAGATTGTGGTTGAATGAGGGATTGATTGTAGGGGAAGTGTATGCCCAATCGGCATCGCAATTCAGTGAAGTCGTTATCAAATAATACCAAACATATTCAAGTCTACGTGTATAATAAGATAGAAGGGGCAAGTTCATGACTAGTGCTACAATGGAAATGGTAAAGAGCCTGATTGGAAAATTTGGATCTTTCTTTTTAAATGTTACTAGGATCATGCATTGGGTTTGATGATTTTATAAAGAGCTAACGTGGTTCACCAGAATTAGAGGCGGTGCAATGAACTTGGGACTTTGGGATTAATTACCATATATAAATTTTTTTTTAAAAAAAAGAAAACATTTGGGTCAAATAGAAAATATTAGTTTCCTATAAAAATTAAAATAAAATAAAGCGATCCCATCATGTTGTGGATTATATGAGGCTATGATTCATTGAAGGAAAACAGAAGTGATAATTGAAGAGTTAAGTACATGATTAAAACTATGCTCCAAATAATTCGAAGTGGATTGATCTTGAAATAGTGATTTAACTGGTTAAAAAATTTAAAATTTAAAATTTGATATTTTATATTTAAATATTAAATTGAGTGAAAAGAGATTTTAAAAAAATAACTATCTTTTTTTATATAATACATCATTAAATATAAAAAAAATGTATGAAGTGGATTTTAATTTAGTAATTACTATTGTTTAATATATTTTAAAATAATTGTTAATTTTTATTTATAAATTAAAAATTTAGAAATAATTTATAATTTACTTATATTGACCTTTAAAAAATAGAATTAAATATAAAAATGTTGGTGAAGATGTGACACTTAAAGTTAAGTGGAAATAATAAAGTTAAAGTATAAAAAGTTATAACTCCAAAAGGTTGGATCGATTAATAAACAAATGTTGTCATGAAGGCTAAATCAAAGTTTGTAATTTTGGGTTAATACTAAAAAAAAAAATTTTTTTTTAATACACTAAATTAATGTAAAAGATACATCCTTAAAATTACTCAAAGGGATACTAAAATTATTTAATGTAGAAGATAAGTCCTTAAAATTATGCACTAAATCAATGTTGTCTTGAAGGCTACATCAAAGTTTGAAATTTTGAGCTAATACTCAAGAAAATTAGTTTTCTTCAATGCATTAAATCAATATAAAATATATGTCCTTAAAATTATTTAAAGAGATATTAGTTTTGAGATATACAAAAATTAATCTATGAGACACTTTAATAGTAAATACCCAAAAACAAGTATAAAAAGATATAAATTTTTCTAACATATGATCTTAAAGTACAATTAATTCATTTTTTAAACTTAAGCAATAATAATAAGTTTAAGAGAGCATAGGTTAATAATGAAATTAATGCATCTTTTTAGTATTATTTAACTTTAAAAAAATAAAGGTGGATCTTTTTTTAATCAAGCATCTAATTAAAATGAAGATTTTTTACCATGTGCTTTTAACACATATGTTACAATTGTAATTATTGCATCTTTTGTATATTAATTTATTTTGAAAAAATAAAAGTTAATACATATTTAATTAATTATTCAATTAAAATGATCTAAATTCAATTAGTGGTAAAATTAATATTAATTTTTATATTTTTTAATACAAATTAATATAAAAAAGTTACAATAACAAAGTACATAAATTAGAAAAACTCTAAAAATAATTCACATAATAAAATTAAAATCAACTTTTGTGTTTTACTATACAATCTTACTATATTATAAAAAAAAATTATTAAAATTATCAATAAATCTCAAATAAACAACTAATGAACCTTTAAAAATCCTCAATAAGTATCTTTAAAATCTTCAATAAACTCCTTAAAAATACTCATAAAATCTCAAATAAATATTGATTCTCTCAAAAGTTTAAAACCCACTTCAAATTTAGGAGTCTACTATTCCAATTCAAATGGTATATTGTTTCCCAACTTTAATTCAACTTCTAGAGTTTAGTTTAACTTCTAATTAAATTTGGACTTAAACTTAAATAATTATATATTATATATAGAACTTTTAGGAATGGTAAAAATTATTACTATGTTATAAAAATTGTTAAAATTTTCATCAATCTTAAATAAATATCCAATAAATCTTCTAAAATTATCAATAAATTCTTAATAAATTTTCAATAAATACTAGAAAATTATCCAATGAGCCTTTTAAAATCTCCAATAAATACCACACAAATACCCTATAGGCTTTTTAAAATCCTAACTCAATTATATCTATCCTCTTATATTATAAGAATAGTTAAAATCATCAATAAATCTCAAATAAATGTCTAATAACCTTTTAAAATTTTCATTAAATCTTTTTAAAATACTCATAAAATCTATATATTCTCAATGAATCTCTCTTAAGAAAATATGGCCTATAACAATTGTAGCTTACTTCAGCATTATCATCATTATAATATAACAATATTAATTAACTAGTACAAAATAATAATTTTATAAAGCTTACTATAGCATTACCATTATAATACAATTTTACTTTAGTTTTACTACAATTACTTCAATTATATTTTAATCTGAATTTAATCATATTTTTAATAATAACTTTTCTATATGTATCTTTAATATTTTATCTTATTTTATTATATTATAAAAATTAATAAAACTTTTAATAAATATCTAATGGGATTTTTAAAATCCCTTTATAATCTCAAATAAATATCAAATAGATAGGCAATGTGTCTTGTAAAATCCTTCTAAAATCTCAAACAAATGCCTAATGGACTTTTTGAAAAACAATTTATTAAGAGGTTGAAACCAAATTAAATTAAATTAGTATTCTTTTAAATTTCTTAATGAGTATGATACATATAATTTCTTACTAGATTAATTCTCTATATGATTTTATTATATTATTAAAATTGTTGAAATCTTCAATAAATCTCAAATAATTACCCAATGTACCTTTTAAAATATCTCTATACTCTCAAATAAATATCTAATAAATCTTTTTAAAAAAATTCATTAAGGAAGTTAAAGGTTCATCAAATTAAATTAACATCATTTCAAATGAGCACATCGCATATAATCTTCATCAAATGAATTCTTTATATAATAATACTTAACAATATTCTAATCATATCAAACTTCTTACTAATTTTTCACAAGTTCCATTTGAATCACCATATAATAATTTAACTTTTATATTTACATATTATTAAAGTTGAAACAATTTATCCAAATATATAATATGACTTTTACTTCAATTATATAATGTGTTTAGTGTAAGTATAAATTATATTAGGGTGGTGTTATTGTCACACCCTTAATTAGTAATACCACACATTTTTATCTTAATTGGCCAATATATCCTTAAATTTATTAGGAAACAAAAAAAAAAATGTAAATTTTTGAGAAAAAAAATGTAATGTAAGGGTATAATAAATATTTACAATAAAAAAGTGTCGCATTAATTATTTAGGGTGTGACAACAACTCTATCCATTATATTATATTCAAGAAGTACATATAATCTATGTATTTGTAAGTAATGAATTATAATCCATTATTCTAATTAAGACTAAAGGAGTAATAATTAGGATATAGATTGGTATACTATCTAATTCAATACAATGCACAACAAACTCATTAAAAAATTATTATTTTTTAATCTAAAATTAAAAGTTAACAAACTTAAAAATAAAATTATGCATATAAGATATAAGAACTAGATGAATCGACTATATTTATATTATATTTTAATAATTGAATCAAATAAGTGTTGAAAGATATATTAAACTAAAGAGTGTAT